TAGTATATTGACCTTGTCCGAAGTAACTTATTGCGTATATATACGAGTTATTATGCGATATTTATTTCTAACTTACATATTTGATATGATATATTTGAGTAATCTTGTGTGAAAGTTGGGCTCTAACTAAGCAAGAAAACCATCTAAATCAAGGTTTTAAATTCAGAGTATTGAATCTGGAAAGAAGACGAAAGTAAGATGTGATAATTTATTGGGTACACCGTTAGCCAATTGCAAGAAACTAAACTTCTTCCAGGAAGTTTTTGTTAACTTACTTTATATGAACAAATATGTTCCAATTGAATGTTTGGAGCCACTTCCGACTTTCTGTGATTCTATATCTAGACGACTCTAGTTAATTTCAAGGAAAACTATGGCAGGCTTCAACTGAGTAAGTTAAACCTCATTATGTTATTCCCTTTTTTTTATTGTGCTGCGATTTCATATTTCAAGTACTATTGTTTAGATATTTATTTAACCATTAATTCCCTTTTGATGTGTCAACGACTTATTTGCATTACAATCTTGTAGGTTTATGAGTCATATTCAATAAAATAAGTGTACTTATGGAATATTTTCTGCTGCTAATTGGATTATACTACCACGTGCATCGCACATCACTTACTAGTGCTCTTAAAATCTTAGACATGATCAATCATGTTCCCATGCTCCCTCCTATATTGAAGTTTGTCAGATTTTGTGAGGAGATGTTGGAGCAGTCACAATGTATGTAGAGATGGTCCAACCATTTTCTTTTGACGAAGTAATGGAATGATTACAACCAATAGAATGCAATGCTTGTTAATTGCATGCCCTGTCTATAAAAAGGCATTTCTACTAGAATCCGTGAACTATATATGTTGTATCATTTTGAGAAACCTTTCATAGACATTGTTTATGTTAGAAGTTATGCTTGTCACAGATATTGGGCTGTTATTGTGTACAAGTGTGGGTAAAGCATCCCCTCCCTTTGAGCTAGCTTTTGGGGATGCTTTACCCACTCTTGTACACAATATTACACTCATGTTTTTTTTT